CAGTGTGCAGCAGCAGCCAAAAAAGCTAATACAATCCTGGGTTGTATAAACAGAGGCATAGAATCAAGATCACGTGAGGTATTATTACCGCTTTATAAAACTCTAGTAAGACCACACCTGGAATACTGCAGCCAGTTTTGGTCACCATATCACAAAAAAGATGTTGAGAGTTTGGAAAAAATCCAGAGAACAGCAACTAAGATGATCAAAGGCCTGGAGACTAAAACATAAGAAGAATGGCTGTAGGACTTGGGTTTGGCTAGTCTAAAGAAAAGAAGAAATAGGGGAGACATGATAGCAGTATTCCAGTATTTGAGGGGCTGCCACAAAGAAGAGGCGGTCATGTTATTCAGCAAAGGGCAAGACAAGAAACAATGGTTGGAAACTGACCAAAGAGAGAAGCAACCTGGAATTAAGGAGAAACTTCCTAACAGTGAGGACAATTAACCAGTAGAACAGCTTGCCCCCAGAAATCGTGGGCTCTCCATCACTGAAGATTTTTAAGAAGAGGCTAGACAGTCACTTGTCTGAGATGGTATAGGTTCTCCTGCTTGAGCAGGGGGCTGGACTAGAAGACTTCCAAGGTCCCTTTCAGATTCTGTTCTATTCTGTTCTATTATTTGGAGAAAACATGATACAGTAAATAGGCTTGAAATACAGAATGTTTTGCACAAATGTGGACTTGAAGATTAGTTGTTGAATGTGATAAAACCATATCCAGATAGTCCTCAACTTATAACAGTTTGTTTAGTGACTGTTCAAAGTTACAACGGCATTGAAAAAAGTGAGCTGTGATTGTTTTTTCACACATATGACCATTGCCGTATCCCCATGGTCACATGATCCAAAGTTCAGACATTTGTCAACTGGCTCTTATTTATGATGGTTGCAGTGTCCTAGGGACTTGTGATCTTTGAGACCTTCTGGCAAGCAAAGCCAATGGGGAAGCCAAATTCACTTGACAACTGTGTAACTAACTTAAAATACTGGGGGAAAAACCAGATCTGTGAACATCTAGAAACAAATAAAATTGTCACTAGTAACCAGCACAGGTTTGTTAAAAATAGATCATGCCAGACCAGTCTTATTTCATTCTTCGACAACGTGACTAAATTAGTAGACAAGCGAAATGCTGTGGACATAGTATACTTGGACTTCAGCAAGGCATTTGACAAAGTAGACCACAATCTACTTCTTGCTAAACTAGAAAAATGTGGGATAGATAACATCATCACCAGATGGATTTGTAACTGGCTGACAAACTGTACTCAACATCTATCTACATGGAGGGAAGTGAGCAGTGGGGTACTGCAACGTTATGTCTTAGGCTCAATACTCTTCAATATCTTCATATATGACTTAGATGAGCGAATAGAAGGGGAACTCATCAAATTTGCAGATGACACTAAGCTAGCAGGAATAGCGAACACCCCAGAAGACAAGCTCAGGATCCAAAAAGATCTTGACAGACTTGAACAATGGGCTCTATCCAACAACATGAAATTTAATGTGGAGAAAAGCAAGGTTTTACACTTAGGCAGGAAAAACCAAAAGTACAAATACAGAAACAAACCTGGCTCAAAAACAGTAACTGTGAGAGGGACCTTGGAGTCCTACTGGACAATCACTTACATGAGCCAGCAGTGTGCGGCAGCAGCCAAAAAAGCTAACACAATCCTTGGTTGTATAAACAGAGGCATAGAATCAAAATCTCGTGAAGTATTAGTACTGCTTTATAAAGCCTTAATAAGACCACACCTGGAATATGGCATCCAGTTTTGGTCATCACATTACAAAAAAGATGTTGAGACTTTGGAAAAAGTGCAAAGAAGAGCAACTAAGATGATTAAGGGCTTGAAGACTAAAATATATGAAGAACGGTTTCAGGAATTGAGTATGGCCAGTCTAGAGAAAAGAAGGACCAGGAATGACATGATAGCAGTGTTCCAGTATTTGAGGGGCTGCCACAAAGAAGATGGGGGTCAACTTATTTTCCAAAGCACCAGAAGGCAAGACAAGAAACGATGGATGCAAACTAATCAAGGAGAGAAGCAACCTAGAACTAAAGAGAAACTTCCTAACAATCAGCACAATTAACCAGTGGTACAGCTTGTCTTCGGAAGTTGTGGGTGCTTCATCACCACCTGTCTGAAAGCGTTTAGGATCTCCTGCTTGAACAGGGGTTTGTACTAGAAGACCTCCAAGGTCCCTTCCAGCTCTATTCTGATTGACTGAGTGATCAACTGCACTGATTCACTTAACAACTGTGGCAAGGAAGATTGTAAAATGGGGCAAAACTCACTTAACTGTCTCACTTAGCAACAGCATTTTTTGGCTCAATTATAGTTGTAAGTCGAGGACTACCTATATAATGAAATTAAAACATGCAGAACAATGAATTACATCCTTGGTGAATGGTTTAATATTGAAAGGAGTAGGGGCAATGGGTGTGTGTTGTGTATAATATGTGGTCTGCTGCATGAATATTTTTCAAAGTAAGTGAAAATGGCTATGTATGTTAATGAGGTTTTGTACAGTTTGTTACTGGATGTGAGAGATAGCTATGTCAGGAGATTGAATGCAATAGGAATGGGTACTTAAGAACTGTGTGTGGCAAAACAAGAAACGATGGGGTCAGGAAAGAATGGGTTCTGGATGAATGTGAATACAAAAGTGAATGATCTTGTATGAAAGAAGTATATTGAGCAGGTTGGTGATGTAGAGAGAACAAATGAGGATCAAATCACAAAACAAATATATAAAGGGAGAGTGAATAGGTCAAGAGGGGGTGAACCAAGAAAATCATGGTGGTTGGAACTGATGAGATTCTGAATAAGGAAGAGTTGAGAAGTTTAAAGAATAAAAGACAATATATGAAGTGGTGTACGGATGAAGTAAGAGCAACGATGGCTTGCTACGATAAGAACGACAGCCAGTTTGGTCTAAATGTCACCAGGCTAGAAAACGAGAGACCATGAGTTCAAGTCTCACTTTAGCCATGAAAGCCAGCTGGGTGACTTTGAGCCAATCACACTTTCTCAACCTAAACCATCTCACAGGGTTGTTGTTGTGGGGAAAATAGAGAGAAAAGAGAAAGATGGATTGGATATATTTGCAGCCTCGGGTTATTTGTAAAAATAATATATATTTTTTAAAAAAGTACAAGATAGGTATAGTTAATGGTGTTGCTGTAAACTAGATTATGCTATGTTTCTTTTTTTCCCTTTTTCTTTCTTTTAATTGCTTTGGCTAACTATTTCTTATTCCCTTTTTTGTGCTTATAACATTGTTTATTTAAAATGGAATAAGTAGGGCTTTGTACTTTAATGTTGTAGGATGCTACATATAAGCAAAATAACACCAGAAAAAAAAGATGGGAAAATAACAAACTGAAAAGGAGAGCTGTATAATTATATATGAGTTAGTTTATTTTGATCACAAGCCTCTTAGAAAAAAAGCTTTGGTGTCCTGAATACTTCCAACATATTTTACTCTTCTAATTCTCTTCCAGTGCCCTAGATTAATCAAAGCTGTAACCCCTGTTGTCTTTGCAGTACAATTCAGAATGTGCCCCTGGCCAAGAATGACGGAAAAGTCAACAGGAATTAAATTTCAGTGCAACTGTTTACTCTACTGTGGCCTGCACTTATTGAAATGTTATCCATGGTTTTGTGTGACTACTGCAGTAAGGAATTCAGCATGCTTGTGATATTTTTAATGATTGCATTCTCACCTAAAAAAAAATCTACAAGAAGAAAACAACTATACATTGAATTTAGTATCATGAAAAACTCAAGCCTCTAAAATGTAGGGAATTTATGTTAAATGTTTTTTTCCAGGAAAAAAAAACAAAGTTTGTCATAGCTTTTTTTCTACCATACAACAATCTGCTGACAAGATCATCATGCACACTAAAATGACTCCACAGCTGTCAAAATCTTCAAGACTATTCCAAACTCCAGACCAAGGATTTTTTTAAAAAGTAGAATTAACATTTGCATCTTTTCACAGATACTACATATTATAGATATATTCCCATGTTATGCAGTGCCAATACTATTCAACAGAATTTTTAAAATTAAGTGTCTCTGTGTTAAACTTGCAATGATACTGTTGTTAGCCTGACCTATTCTTCTCATACAAGCAAGTATTCAAATAATTCATACTCAAAACTGTTTTGTTCAGTCAAGGAAATAAATGGGATATCTAGCAATAAATGTAATTTAATTGTTGGAAATCAATAAATACAAATGCTTACTCATGAGGATTAAAGTAGGCATCCTGTTGTACTCTTAGAGGAAACCACTTCCTCCATTAGCAAAGTAAAGAGCACCTGATTATCAATACTGAATGATTACACAATTCAAATTGCAATAATTTCCTTTTTCTATAATCAATGCTACACTTTGGGGGAAAATAAGAACACATCTGGAACACCTGGATTATTAATGAAGATTTAGGAAATTATCAGTCATGCTATCTTACTCAAGCCTCGTAGTTTAGTGCAGGAGTCCCGAAACCTGGGTTGCAGACCCACGCTGATCTGTGGCATGTCAGAAACCGGGCTACACAAACGAGCGAAGCCCCACCTGCTCATGCATGGGACGCAAAGAGCGTGTGAAACCATGCTCCCTCTGGTCTGCAGAAAAACCTCTCTCCACGGAACCGGTCTCCGGCGATTGGGGTCTGCTGGTTTAGTGCTTCTTATATCACAGATATCGGGTTCACTATTAAAGCGAAGAAATCTACTTAGGCTTATTTCTACCAGTGAAATGTTGGTAGCGCAGGAGTTGATATGATACAGTTCCTTCTCTTTAAGGTTATACTTTACTTCTGCAGAACGCCAAGCAACTAATATCATATAAATGCATGCTTTAAAGTATTTATTTGCTAGAAAATACCACGGTATTTTTATGATGTGAAAAATTCCATCAACCTTTATTTCTGTATACAAGAATCTTTCAAAGTTGGTAAAATATTAGTAGTATATTTTACAGTACCTGCTGTTGCTGAAGATGGGCAAAATCCGCAGCACTAATTTCCACCGAAGGTGTCTCTCCGTTGGGTCTTACTTCGCGTAGGGTGCAATCTAGTAGGGAGTTGACAGTGCTTGCTCCATTCTGAAGGGCTGAACCGTTACTTTTTGTCTCAGTTCCAGATTCTTGCATCATGACTCAAAAACCTGGAATAATTTAACGGAAGAAAGAAAAAAAATTAAATAGTTGGTAAAACACTTCACTTGCTTTACAGCTTAGTACAATTAAAAATATTTGCTCCCTCTCTTCAAATGATTTATATTTTCATTATTAGTTCAGGCACAAGTTACATTGATCTATTGGCAATTTTGCAACATTGTAAAAATTTATTATTGATCTAAACATGGCAATATTTGTTCAACAAGTTCCTTTTCTGTCAGAGTGAAATCAGGCGCAGAGGCACAATCACAAATACATTAAGATTTACAATTCAGTTGCTTTAATAATATTTCAACATTTTACTTGAATTGTGTAAGACAGTTTTAATAGTATATTATGATTCATTTTTTAAAATACAGGTAGTCAACTTATAACAGCTCATTTAGCGATTGTTCGACATTACAATGGGATTGAATAAAGTGACTTATGATCATTTTTCACACTTATGACCGTTGAAGCATGCCAACGGTCACGTGATCAAAATTCAGATGCTTGGGAACTGACTCATATTTATGACAGTTGCAGTGTCCTGGGGTCACGTGATCCCCTTTTGCAACCTTTTGACAAAGAAAATTTATGGGGAAGCCAGATTCACTTAACAACTGTGTTACTAACTTAACAAATTCAGTGATTCACTTAACAACTTTGGCAATAAATGTCATAAAATGGGGCAAAACTCACTTAATAAATGTTTCACTTAACAACAGAAATGTTGGGCTCAATTGTGGTCGTAAATCAAGGACTACCTGTATTTTTAAACAAAGATAACCACTTGACTTGAGGAGATGGGTGATGGTGGGACAACCTGAGTAAAGTTACAAAAGTTAAAAAAAGTTAGAAAAGTTCACTCATGACAGGCTGAAATCCTGAAATCCAGTTCTTTGTACTTTAACCTGGTTGGAATCCTAGAGGAAACTACTTTTTTTCATCAGAAAAGTAATAGATATCTAATTGCCAACAAAGACAACCTTCTTTTCTAATGATAGGTGTTACTGCTTTATAACCCCTTCTAAGCAATTTACAGAGTCAACGTATTGCCACCAACAATCTGGATCCTCATTTTACCGATCTCAGAAGAATGGAAGGCTGAGTCAACTTTGAGACAGTGAGAATGATATAATGTAGTTCTTTCTTTTGCATCCTAAATAATTGTTGAAACTCTTGATTATTATCTTGCACCGAAACATCTCACTACATTTGAAAACAGAGATTCTTGGGTGCAGATGAGTCTTCCTAGATAACCACAGTATAGATACCTCTCTAGTTGTTCCCTCAAGACCAGTAAAATGGAAGCAAGGGACCTCTATAGATGCAACTCCGTACAATCAGTAAGGGATCCACTGACAATTTTCAAGGCATGGTGTATTTATGAACTCTTCTCTTGAATCACATTCTGGAATTTCCACGTTACTCAAAAACACAAAATAGCTTATAATTTAAATTACTCCTTTTAATTCTAGACTCTTCACTTTCAGAGTACTGTTGGGTTGTTGTTTTTTTAGAAAATATATTCATGTGTGTATACTGTTTTTCTCTTCACATAAGGCTACCAAAATGGGGGGGGGAATACAAATGAGGAATTTCAATAATAACAGTTGAAGTATATGTGAGTGCTCTTTAGGTAAGCAATCACAGTCCTCGTCCCACCCATCTCATCAGACTGTCCACAAAAACAGAATATTTATTCATCCAAGGCTACACCGTAACAAGACATGTGAACGTACAACTGTAAAATCTTAATATAATGTAATGCAAGTTTCACCCCAAAGTGAATTACGTCTGGTACTATAAAAACAGTTTTAATTTAAAAAAAATTTGGTAGAGGGAAAACATTTGTGAAATTGCTAACAATTGTGGGTACAGGTAAAATACAGGTATAAAGTAACATTTTACTCAAATTGAATTTTCTTTTCTTGGCAACAGTAGAGAAATGATTTGCCACTGTCTTTTTCTCAGATATTTTGATTTCAAAATGTAGTCTACAGCTCTGGATTTCTGATGGGTCTCCTATCCAGATATTAATGAAATCAGATTACACTTAATGTTTTTGAGATAAGCCAAATTTGACTAAGTGCTCTCATTGCTCTGACAAAAATAAATATGTTAGAGAATGAACAGGATGTGAAGGAAAGAATTGATGTTTTTCTTTAATACATCTTGGTTGTCAAAGAATAAGAAAGAATGGATTATTTTTAATTGAAATCCCTTCTTGGCATAGGATTTTCCCATCAAACATATGTTTTGTTATATTTATGTTTGCAAAAATTTAAATTCTGAACTATTGGTATAGATATAATAAATCTTTTTCAGGGAAGTCAAAGAAATATCTCCTTTTTTCATCTTCCTGAATGATTCAAACTAACAGGTAAAACAAGTTTTATTCTCGAACAGTTAAATTAAGTTTGACCAAGTCAAGCAGATATAAATTAATTTGGTTGATCAATCATTTATATCAAGCAGAATAAATGTCCTTAAAGAAGTTGCCCAATCATTTAAGAATGTTTAATTTAAACACAGATTTATGCAGAATATTTCTATTTCTATGAAAAAAATACAAAAATTCATCTAAAGCAAATTATTTAATAGCATTACGTAGTAAAGAAATATTTAACTATCTCTGCCAGAAAAAAGCCACCCAGAGTTGCTTTGGATAGTAAGATGGGCAAGCATATAAATTTAATAATAAAAAATCTGTTAGTCAGGATACAAAAAATTACTCTTCATTTTAAAATAACCCTCATTTGCCTAACCAATGAGTAGTAGCCACAGTGTTAACCATGGTCAGGTCATTAATAGAAGACAATATTTGTAGCTCTGGGTTGAACTAAGGGTTCTTTTGTGCTCTCTGAGATTGGTTGTTTTCTTGCAGACATTTCATTACCCAACTAGGTAACAACATCAGTGCTAAAAGGGACCAATGTTATTTAGTTTGGTAATGAAACATCTTCCAAAAACAACCAAGCTCAGAAAGCACCAAGGGACCCACACAATGGTGGGATTCAGCCAGTTCGCACCAGTTCGGCAGAACCGGTAGCTAATTTTTTGTTGCCCAGGCCCAGAATGGACTTCTGGAAGTGGCATCCACACAGAGAATCAGTTGTTCACGTATTTGAATCCCAACACTGGGATTCCCACACGTCATGTTATCACTTCTCACACATCTAGTTTCTACGAAGGTAGAAGTAGACAGAAAGCAGGGAGTGTTCTAGAGGCTAAAAAAACTCAAGATGACAAACACTTTTTGGATTCTCCCCTTCCCTTTTTCTTCTGCAACAAGCAATTACTAAATGATAACTAAGCATGAACTATTGGTTTGAACTGTATACTGTCCCCATCCTATCATCAACAATCATCTTTGTCAGAGCTGCCTCCAATAGTACAAAATGGGTTCAGAAATGAATAAGCTGTACTACCCACATTTCCTTGAACTCTCTAACCCTGTAGGAAAGACAATGCATGTTATGAGGCCTTTGGATGCAATTAGGGTTATGTTAACAAATCTGTATAAGCAACAAAAGGTGACTCGCCTCTTTCTCTTATGCTGTCATGTTTTATTTTGTGTTGATTTAATCAGAATCGACCTGGAAGGGACCTTGGAGGTCTTCTAGTCCAACCCCCTACTCAAGCAGGAGACTTTATACCATTTCAGACAAGTGACTGCCCAGTCTCTTTTTTAAAACCTCCAGTGATGAAGCACCCACAACATTTGAAGGCAAGCTGTTCCACTGGTTAATTGTCCTCACACTTAGAAAATTTCTCCTTAATTCCAGGTTACTTNTGCCCTTCTTCTCCGGGCCGTTTGCAACGGCCGAAAGTCGCGGCCGCCATTTTGGGCGCGCTTTGCAGAGTCGGACAGGAGGCTTTCTCCTCGGTCAGGGGAGGCAATTCCTGAGCGTTTCTGGAGTTCTCCTTCCCTAGCTTTGGTTGCCAAGTTAGCCTTTCTTCAATTTCGCTCCTCCGGGCCATTTTCAAGCGGCAAAAGTCACGGCCGCCATTTTGGGCGCCCACGACAGATTGAAACGGAGGATTTTCTGCTTGGCTGAGGGAGACGAACTCCCCAACGTTAAGGAGATTTCGTTCCTTGCCTTCCCTGGTTCAGAGAACACAGTCATAACAGCCAGAGGCCATATATATATATTAAAATATTGCCGCGGCGGCCATTTTGGAAGCTCCACGCGGCTGGCCTGGTTAGCCTCAGCACTGGTAACAGGGCCTGAAGCTAGGCCACATTATATTTGTCATAGACTAAATACAGTCAAATTCTAAGACCACCATCTTGATTCGGGACACCAAATTTGGTCCCCTTGCCTGTGCCAGGCCTCATTTTAGGCCTTTACGACCCCATTGGATACTGGTGCACCCTGACTGGCCACCTAAGGCCTCCGGGCGGAGCCTTTGCGGGCCCCTAACGTGCCTTCGGTCCTTCCCAGTGACCGTGACCTAGTCCCAGAGAGAATTCATCAGGTCAGGTGGTCAGGGGAGCAGTACTTGTTACTAGCTCTGAACAACCTTCCCGCCATCCGCTTGCTTGCCAGAGCTCCCCCTCAGGTTTTACCTGAGATAGCTCATTCAGGATGGAGGATTCCATGGCGCCTCAGCTCCTGGGCACCGCGTCCTCGTCATCCACCAACGGCCGGCACAAATCCCCCGGGCAGGAGGCAGCGGGCAAGCTTAAACATAAGGCCAAGGCTACCCTGAAGAGGACATCGAAGTTGGCGGAGAAGCAGGCCAGCCGCAGGCACCAGGCCCTAGAAAGGGAATTTGACAGGGCACAAAAGCAGGCCAGGCGTGAGCAGGATCAATTGGTGGTCCCAGAATTCGATCTCCCATTGGGTCCCTCCACTTC